GGTTGGTTTGTTTGTCATTCCCGTCTCATATTCCATGTAAATACAGCAAGAGGTTCCGCAGCTCCAGGTCCCCGCCAGTCCCGGTGTTCCCAAAGTGATCTGGGGGGACAGGGAAGCAGAGGAGACCCCCCTGACCTCTTCCCAAGGCTCGCAGCATTCCCGGGATGGTGCATCCAGCTCCTTCGGCACAGGAACGGAGAGGGGACACCCCCCCACTCCTCCCTCTTCCCCCCCACGCCGTTCTGAGCTCTTCAGACATGCTCGGCTTGGAGGAGACCCCCGGCTCAGGGGTCTGGGGGGGGATTCTCTGGAGTCTAGACCAGAAAACCCACCGTGACCTTGGGAAAGGAGGAATGACTTTACCCCCTGCCCGAGGCAACCACAAGCAGCGTCTGGTTCCCTCCAGATGCAGCTGGAGCTGAAGACACCCAGCAGCTCCTGAAGCTGCGTCCTGTGGGCAGGGGCTGCTCGGGAACCTGCCTCAGCCTTGGGCTCTTCTCATGCCAAGACACCCCAGCATCCCAGACTGGTGGGAAGGGACCTTCAAGATCATCCAGTTCCAACCCCCTGCATGGGCAGGGACACCTCCCACCAGCCCAGGTTGCTCCAAGCCCCATCCAACCTGCCCTTCAGCACTGCCAGGGATGGGGATGCTGCTCCTTGCAGCACCTGCTTGAATTAAAGCCCCATTCTGCTTCTCCTCTCTGCTCAGGCCACCAGCGAGGGGACTTGTCCCCAGAAGTGCTGCTCCATCTGGTGCCAGGGTGGGCAGATATGTAAAAATGAGGACACAGGGGGACAAACCACCCCTCTCAGTGAACCACATTGAGGAAGGGGGTTTTGCCCACTGTGGGAAACTGTTCTTTTCTTCCCCACATCAGTCTAAACCAAATGCCTTTTCAGCCAGCAAAGGCCTCTCCTGATCATTCCCTGCTCATGGACTAAACCAGACTTGCTTCTCAAGGACAATGGAACCCAAAACAGCAGATGTGGTGCAGGACAGAAAGGATGGGCTACAAGCCATTACCTCCCTAAAGGACACTTTCTTACTGTATATATATATATATATATCTCCCTGGTAGCCATTTACATTTCCATTCTCCCTAAACATCATCCCTCAGTTTGTGTTAACCCTTCATAAACCGATTCATTCGTGTAGTAAACATTGGTCTTAGCAGCAATTTCTGGGTGCCCTGGGGGTGCTCTCTAACTGCCACCCTAAGATAGTTCCTCTGGGAGAGGCAGTGCCACGTGTGACCCTCGGGCTCATTCACAAACCCCTCCTGTCCCCAGTTTGACTCAGGTTCAACAACAAGGCTCTCAATCCCCTCCCACCCAGCTAGGGAAGGAGAGAGAGAAAATTGGATTGAAAAACTGGATTGAGAACTAAACTGCACAGCTTGAATTAAACACTAATGAGATAAGAAAATTGATACAATTACGTACAAATATGCTCAGATAGGTGCAAAAGCCTCTCGCCTCCCCTCACCCCCAGCAACTCCCACAGCATCTCCTGAGCTGGGAACAGTCCCAGAAAATCCTGGAGCTGCCAGAGAGCACAGAGTGATGAGGGTCAGGAGAGCTGGAGCCTGAGAGTCCCTGGGGAGGGATGGACAGAGTCCTGCCCGGGCACCGGCCATAGGTGGAGGAGAAGGGAAGAAGAAGCAGGAAGGAGTTGTCTTGTGTGCTCTCTGTCCTTCCTCTGAGCTCACGTAGCTCCATGGAATGGAATCTCTGGCCAGTTTTGCTGTCTGTCTAACTCAGCCTCCTACGGGGGGGTCACAGATCTCCCCGTAGTGTCTGAGCCAGCAGAGTAAAGATGTGAACTTGAAGCCCCAGCAGTTACAAAAACGTTCTATTCTTATCCGCCTTAGGTAGAACACACTGTGACTAGTTAAAAGAAAGCTTGATGAAGGGGAAAAAAAATCAGTAAAAGGAAAATTGGCTTCATCCTGGCTCAAACCAGGACAGCTCCACATCAGGGGGGGAGTCCTGGAAGGATCTAAGAGCCGAGAGCCCCCCAGTATCAACCCAGATCCTACACCCTGAGGTAAATTACATCAACCATCTCTTCCCTAAGTGCTCCAAAGAGCTCTGGAAACTGGGATCCCTTGTGATCTGCTGTGAGGAAACAGTTAATGTGCAGCCACAGCTGAAGGCAGGAGGAGCCTGTCCTGAATATCAATGGGAAAAATGGGTGAAAACAGCCAAGCTCTGAGCATCTGCAGTTGGATGTTTCCCAACATGGACACTGTTTGACCCACTTCTATGCTTCATTTCCCTGTGAACAAAATAGGGCAGTATAGTTAGGCAAAGACCTTCATCCAGTCCAACCGTTAACCTAGCACTGACAAGTCCTTAACTAAACCAGAACCCTAAGTACTATGTCTCTGTGACTCTTAAATCCCTACAGGGATGGTGACTCCACCACTGCCCTGGGCAGATGGAACCATCAAATCCTAGAACACCAGGCTGGGAGGGACCTCAAGGATCATCTGGTCCAACCTTTCTTGTCAAAACCTGAACACTGCCAGGGATGGGGCAGCCACAGCTTCCCTGGGCAACCTGGGCCAGTGTCCCACCACCTTCACAGCAAATAATTTCTTCCTCATCTCCAACTATTCCAGTTGGTATCTGCTTCCATGGTGCCAGGGCTTTGGGTTCACGGGCTCAAGGCCAGCTGGGATACACCACAGGTCTCACTTGGATCTATCTGCTGGGAAAATGGCAAAGATCTGGAAAAAGGCCATGAGACACCTCACCTGGGACCTCACCACTTTGCTGCAGTGAAAATCAGGCTGTTCCCCTCCATCTCTTCACAATGGGGTGTCCTCTCCAGCCAGAAAGAAAATGAGTCAGGGAGAGTGGGCACAACTCACCCAGCTTCACCCCACCCCTCCATCCATTCATTCCTCACCATCTGTTAATTCTTCAGGCAGTGACTAAGAGGTGAAGACAAAAGGCCCAACACACCGTGGAGTAAATAGGCCTGATAAAAAGCAGTGAGTTTATTCTCCCTTTCAGGGCAGATTAAACACACCCAGGATGACTGTGCCACCCTCTCCTGGCAGAGAGAAGCTGGTTGGTCAACCCTGCTGTGGGTGCTGTTGCCCTTCTGCAAACATGTGGGTGAGGGTGAACACCTCAGCTTCCAGCCATGGAGAGAGCAGGAGAGACAGCACCTTGGAAAACTGGTTTGGACTCAGCTCAGTGAGAGGGAAAGCTCCAGATGTGAGACACATCTGAAGAAAGTCCAGAGGAGGCCACGGAGATGACCCAAGGGCTGGAGCAGCTCTGCTCTGGAGCCAGGCTGGGAGAGTTGGGGTGTTCAGCCTGGAGAAGAGAAGGCTCCAGGGAGACCTTAGAGCACCTTCCAGGGCCTGAAGGGGCTCCAGGAAAGCTGGGGAGGTACTTGGGACAAGGGCAGGGAGGGAGAGGACAAGGGGGAAGGGATGAAAACTGGAAGAGGGAG